TCTACCGTGTCATTCAAAACCATGGTTTCCTTGTTGATTTTCTGTTTGGATTATGTCTGTCATGTAAGTGGTGTGTTAAAGTCCTCTACCATTACTTGTATTAGCATCAATTAGTTCCTTTTTACTCTTTTATAAATTTGGGTGCTATCATGTTGAGTGCATAAATATTTAAAATTGTTATATCTTCTTGTTGGTTTGTACCTGTTATCACAGAGTGTCCTTCTTTGTCTCTAGTTAGTCTTTGTTTTAAATCTATTTTGTCTAATGAAAAATGCTTCCCTGGCTTTCATTTGACAACCATTTGCATAATAAATGTGTCTCCATCACCTCACTTTAAATCTGCATATGTCTTTAGGTATGAAGTGAGTCTCTTGTAGAAAGCACATGGAAGGGTTGTTTTGTTTTTTTGGTTTTTTTATTCATTCTGTCACCCCATGGCTTTTGCTTAGAGAGTTTATCCCATTTACATTCAAAGTAGTTATCAATAGGTATGTATTTATTGGTATTTTGTTACTTGTTTTGTGGTTGTTTTTGTAGTTTTCTCTGATCTTTCTCTTGCTCCCTTTCATGATTTGATTTTTTTTTTTTAATATTTGCTTTTGAGAGAGAGAGCACTAGCTGGGAAGGGGCAGAGAGAGGGCACAGAATCTGAAGCAGGCTCCAGGCTCCAAGGTGTCAGCAGAGAGCCCAGCACAGGGCTCCAGATCACAAGCTGTGAAATTGTGACCGTAGCCGAAGCTGGATGCTTGACTGAGCCACCCAGGTGCCCCACTTTGACCGTTTTCTTGACTGATACACTGACATTCGTTTCTCTTTTTTCTTTATATCTGTTATTTTTTTTTTAAATTTGTGGTTAACGTTAAGTTTGTGTAACATCTACTGCATATAGTAGCCTATATGAAGTTGATGGTCGCTTAAGTTTGAACCCATTCCTTTGTTTTTCCACCAACCCCCAGCACTTGTTAGATATGGTTTCATATTTTACATCCTTTTACTTTGTGGATTCCTTGATGGTTTATTACAGAAATACTTACTTTTACTTATTTTATGTTTTGTATGTTTCACAGCCTCATTTATGATCTTTCTTTTCCATGCAAATAATCCCCTTTAGTATGTCTCGTAGGGCTGGTTTAGTGATCATGAACTTCTTTAGTTTTTGCTTGAGAAATTCTTTCTCTCTCCTTCTATTCTTAATGATAGCTTTGTTGGATAGAGTATTCTTGGCTGAAGATTTTTCCCTTTTAGCACTTTGAATATATCATGCCTCTCTCTTCTGGCCTGCCAGAAATATCCACTGATACCCTTCTAGGGTTTCTCTGCTCTGGTATGTAATTGTCTTTTCTCTTGTTGATTTTAACACTCTTTGTCACTACCTTTTTTCCATTTTAATTCCTATGTGTCTTGGGGTGGACCTCTTTGGATTAATTTTTATTAATTAATTATGTGTGGGGATCTCTGTGCCTCCTAGATCTAGATATCTGTTTCTTTCCCAGAATAGAGAAGTGTGCATCTATTATTTCTTCAAATAAATTTTCCCCTCTTTTCTTTCTCTTCTTCTGGGATCCTTATAATGTGAATGTTACTACACTTGCTAGAGTCACTGAGTACCGAAAGCCTATTCTCAGTTTGCATAACTCTTTTTTCTCTCACTTATTCATCTTGATTACTTTCCATCACTCTGTCTTCCAGGTTGTTGATTCATTCCTCTGCTTCCTCTAACCTGCTATTTATTCCATAAGTGCATTTTAAATTGCAATTACTGTATTCTTCATCTTTGATAGGTTCTTCCCCCCCCCCCGTGTTAAGGGTCTTCCTGATGCCCTCCACTCTTTTTATCAAGTCTAGTGAGTATATTCATGAAAATTACTCTAAATTCTCTATCAGGCATATTACTTATCTCTGTTTCACTTATGTCTCTTGCTATGATTTTTCCTGTTCTTTGAAGTAGGACATATTCCTCTATCTCTTCATTTCGCCTAACTCTCTGTGTTTTTTCTGTTTATTAGGAAAGTCAGCTATGTCTCTTGCTCTTGAAAGTAGTGGGCACGACCCACACTTTTAACAAGGTGGTATAGATCCTCTTTACAGGGGACTCACCACTGCCTCCAAGACCAGGCCAATGTGGTTTTCTCTTCAGAGCACATGCAGTGGGAGCAGGGTGTCACAAGCTTTTCCCACAGGTCCCCTTCTACTGGGATTGTGCAGCCTCTGTTGAGACCAAGGGCTGGCTGAGGTAGCTCTGGGAAGCATGGCAAATGGGGTCTTGGTGCCACAAGTCCTTTTCCTCACGGGATACTTAGCCACGTGGAGACTGAGGCAGGCCAGGGTTGCTCCATGAAGCACATCTGAGAGGGGGTGTAATGTTAACAAGGTGCACACATCCTCTAAGAGAAGCCAGAGATGCAATGGTGGCAGGGTTTTGGTGGGTTTTCTGGGGGAGAGAATGCACAGCACCAGGACTGAGGCAGGCCCAGTAGGAGGGGGCAGAGCATGGTGTGAGCAAGTAGTGAGTGCTGGCTGTTTCCTACAGTTGGCCATGTGATTATGTTGGGGATGGGGGAGGGAAATGGCACCTGCCAGCTCCTTTGTTCCTGGAAGAGTCCCTCAGGGAACTCTGAGATTAGTAACTAACTTTCCCTCTTGTGTACCCCAGGCATTTTTCAAATTGCTGCTTCTAAGCTCTATCTCTTGGGGCTTTTTGTTGTGTTATCTCTGTAAGGATAAGGACTCAGCTTCCTATTGCCCTCCAGGCTCTCCCTGAATACAAAGCCTGCTGACTTTGAAAGTTCTAGGCTTTAAGTCCTGCTAGTTTTTTAAGAACTTGGGAAATTTGGCCCCTTTGATTGCCAAAACCAAATGCAGTGGGGATTAGTCTTTCCCATGCAGGCTCCCTACTGTGATAGTCTATTTCTTGCCCCTCTCCTTGCCTATAGCTCCCTCCGTCCTGAATCCAGACCCTTGGTGTTTAGCTTCCCACATGTCTCTGCTGGTCCTACCCTCTATAATATGACTTCTTCTCCACATTTGGTTGTGAGGTTTGAACAGTCTTGGCGTCATTTTCTGGGTTATTTGCACTGATATGAATGTTTTCTAGTGGTCTTGGGACAACATGAGTTTAGAGTCCTCCTCCGCATCTTCCTGGAAGCCTTACCCTATTAAATTTTGGATTTACCCAGTGTATGATTTCTGCTGCCGGTAGCATGGGGCTTTACATATCTGTATTGGAAATTAATCTACTTATGACTTATTATGCAAAGAAAGGTACCAGTGGGGAAAACATAGCATAGATGTTAGAAGTACGGGCCTTAGAGGTAGACATGCTTTCAAACTAGCTCCATCATTCTTTGGCAGAATGACATCTGGCAAATTACCTAGTCTTTATGAGATTCAATTTTCCTAATGTAAAGAGAGAATACAAAATATATCACTTACGGTGTTGGGATTTTTCCTTGAATAAAGCTCAGAGTTTCACCTCCTCTGTGTAGAATGGGAGTATTTATTGGCTGCCTATTGTGCACTATGTATGACAGTTATTGTTAGGATATAGATAAGAAAGCAGTCACCTTTGACCAAACCTAATGCCTGATACGGTGGGTGATATTAGAAGATAAACTAAAAGTGGATGTTAAATATTCAGTTGGAAGTATGTGTCAACTGCTGTACTGCTGAATGGGGCAGGATGGGGTGGCGGCCTTGAAGAGAGTTGTCAAGGAAGGCTTCTAAGGGAGCTAGTTTAGCTGCTATGAATTGGAAGGGTATTATGGGTGTGGGAAACAATATATACAAAGAAGAAGAGACATGAAAAAGATATCCTCATTTAGGGGATTCTGGGTAGTGAGTATGGCGGGAAGTTGGGGTGCAGAACTGTGAACAGTAAGACATAAGCTGATGAAGCCATCAGGGATTTCCAGATCCAAAATGGCTCAGTGTGCTTGTTTTTAGGAGTTGACTTTATCTGGAAGACAGAGGGAAACTACCTAACCCAGTTTGGCCTTTGAGGAGATTACCTTAGCAGTGGAGTGGAACACAAATTAGAAGCTGGTGAGACCAGAAATCCTAAGGATGTTGTGTCAGTAATCCTGGGAAGAAATGATGCAGGCCTGTGCTAAGATGGATGCAAAAGGGAAAACTTCTAGAAATAGCTTTCATTGTTTATGTTGGGTTCCTGGGTATGTTGTGATGAATGGGGAAAGAAGTAAGTTTTGAGATGGTTGGGTAAAACTAGTTTAATGTTAGAAACTGCTTTGTATTCTTCTGTAAAATGGGTATGATCAAAGTAACAACTTTTAGGCTTATGAAGATTAAAGGAGTTGAAACATGGATTTTGAACTTAAAGTATTATTCCATAATATATGTTGATCCATAAAAATGGCAATGATATGGTTACTGTTGGCATTGCTAGGTAGAGATGCCTGAAGTGTGCTAAATGGGCAGGTAAGGAGAGAGGTTAAATACAGGAGAAAGGCAGAAGATTGCTGGCTAGGACATGTGGACTTCAGATATAACAGGGTGTAGGTGGTGCTTGAAACAGTGGACAAGGTCACCTAGGGAGAGCATATGGCAAGGAAAGGTCAAGTTTGGGGCCCTCGGGACAACTAGCATTGAAAGGTGTACAGAAGAACAGGATCTAGAGGAGAAATAATCATACAGGTAGAGAAGGAAAACAAGGAAAGTGTTCTGTTGGAGGAACTGAAGAAAGATGGCGTCCTCAGCATCAGATGCCATAGAAAGGCCTGAGAAAAAGACTGAGAGCCACAGCTTGACATCAGCTTTATGGCCCTGGGCATCTTGGGAATAGTTCCACTGTTGGGCATAAAAGACAAATCATGATGGATGGAAAAGCGAACTATGAAGAGATTGAATTCCTTCATTCTCCAAATGAAAATGAAATTGCCCTCTGACATCTGCTTAGATAGAAATTGTCAGTTTGACATAGTGCCACAAGGAAATGGTGTGAGGAAGGCATGATCTGGACTAAAGTCTTAACTGTTTTTTCACAGGATTCTGCTTCAAAAACTGCAGTCACCTCAGGTAGGAATATTTCCAAACCTGACTCCTCCAATTTGAGGAAAACACCTGGTTCAAAAGCCAAAGTGGGGCCTTCTGCTTCCTGTTTGAGGCGGACTAGTGACAGTAGAAATCTCAATTCTGAACGGGCCTTATCTCCTCAGAGGATCAGGCGTGTGTCCAGTTCTGGTAAGAATAAAATAAATAAGTTGTGTCTCATAGCAGTTTATGGATAATTTGAATGTAAAATTAGGCATGTCACAGAAAGGCAGGTTTTGGTTATAAAACCAACACATTCTGTCACCAAAACATTTAACCTTTAGTGGACCAGCATCTTCACAGGGAAGGTAGAAAGAAGTCATAGACACAGCTCTTATCTTTTATCAGTGTAAAGGCTAGTTGGAGAAAGATACAGGTGTGTATACCATCTTCTAAGTTATTCAGAGGAATCATGAATAAATATAAAATTGGTGCTTGTTATATACAAATAATTTCAGGATTATAAAACGAAATTATATACATGTTTAAGGGCTTAATAGTGCTTATGTGTTATACCCTAAATTCATGGTTGGCCCTCATCACATGAAAAGAGATTAGGTTTTTTTTCTTGAATTTTACTGAAAGATGTATTAAATTTTTTCAGGGATATGAGAGTGACTAAAAAGTTAAAACTTTTCTGAGATGAACTTTTATCTCAGAGGTGAGGCATAAGGAGCTCAAAGCTTTAGTTCTTACTGTTGATGCCAGATAAGGGTCATGGTAATTGCTGGGGAGCTCCCTTCCTGTTAGGAGCACCTGTGGCTTGGTGGCACTGTAGTGCCATGGGCACTGTGTTCTAGTACTGACTGCTCTGGCACCAGTGAGCTGCCCAAGCAAGTTGTGTACCTTACTCACTCTGAGCTTCAGCCTTGCATTGTGAAATGTGAGGGATTGAGAATGTAAGATGCTGTCATCTTTGACAGTGCTTATCTTTCTAGGGGCGGTTTGGAGCTCACCTAACTTTCTGAGCAGTGGCGGCTACTAGTATCATTCTCTGGACCACATCACGATCAAAACCCAAAAAAATCAGAAGTGCACATACTTTTAAGAGATTAGGCCAATGCCTCAGATAAACAGTAGTCCCTAGCTATTTGTGGTTTTGCTTTCAATGATTTCAGTCAGCAGTAGTCAACAAGTAGGTATTGTTAGAATGCCACAGTGTACAAGTAGGTATTGTTAGAATGTCAATAGTAGCCCAACACCAAATCATAATGCCTTGGTCATTCACCTCACTTCATCTCTTCCTGTAGGCATTTTAATCATCTCACATGATCACAGGAAGAAGAGTAAAGATACTTTGAGAGAGACAGACCACATTCACATAACTTTTATTATAGTATGTTGTTAGAATTGTTTTATTTTTAGTTGGTAATCTCTTTCTGCACCTCACTTATAAATTAAACTTTATTATTGGTATGTACATAGAGAAAGAAACCATTATACATCGGGTTTGGTTCTATTCATAGTTTTAGGCATCCACTGGATGTCTGGAAACACCCCCAGTGTATGGGAGGTTGGGGGTGGGGGGAACAACGGTATTTTGAAAAATGGGATAGTTTTATGTAGGTGAGGAGTTCACCAAAGAGTTTAGCACTTTTAAAGTCCCTTTACTGTATACTGTATATAATTTCATGCCTTAATAGAAAAGTAGGTCTGTTTACTTGTAATGAAAAGACAAGGAAATTTATTGAGCTTCTATTAACCTGTATAAAGAAACCATTTACCTGGTGGTTTTCTGTATAGAAATGGGGGGAAATCATGTACCAGAAACTTCATAGATTTGCATTTGATTTTATATTTTAACTATTGGAAGACTAACATGATTATGCTGTATTTAAAAAAAAAAATAACTGTACCAAGCTTATTTGGATGCTCAGAATAAATTGAGAGGTGTTTGTTGTGGGGGACAGGAAACTTAATCCCCACAGACTTAAAGTAGAGCAGAAAATCAAGGAGCAAAAACAAGCGTGCCTTTAGATCATTGAGAGCGTTGCCATTTACTGTATAATGCAGTGTTTGTGTAGTAGAAAACTGAAACCAGATGGACATCCTCTGTGCTGTGTGTACAGAGTTCTCTCCTGAAAGGTAAGCAGCAGGAATGTTCCAGTAGACTGGAGTTTTCAATAAATCCTTTCAGAGAACTAAGTAGAAAACCAGACTTGGAATTGAAATAGCCATTTTCTTGAAGTTTTAAACTCAGGAGGAGAAAGAATTGTAATTAAATCCAATGGAGCGCTTCCATTTTACTTGTCTGAATCTAGAAATTGTAATGTACGGCATGAAAACTATAGCTAACACCGCTGTATGATCTATACTTGAGAGTTAAGAAGGTAATTTTTAACAATTTTCATCACAAGGAAAATGTTTTTGTTTTTTTTTTTTTTTGCTTTTTATTGTGTCTATATGAGCTGATGGGTGCTAATTAAATTTTCTGAGGTCATTACTGCACAGTGTATCTAAGTCAAGCCATTAGGCTCTACACCTTAAACTTATAAGTGCTGTATGCCAATTAGATCTCAGTAAAAGTGGAAAAACAATTTTAAAAATCTCAAGATTTGAATCAAACCAGATTATGAGTGATAACAAACCAGATTCTAATTATCTTTGTGTAGAGTATGTGTATGTTTTAACCACTCCAATTAAATGAGATTGTGAGGAAAACTGTCCTAATAAAAATTATAATGCTGAGGATAGCAACTCACACAAAATGCTTACCGAGTTCTGGGCTCTGTCTTAATCATTTCATTTATAAACGCACTGAATTCTCACAGTAGTTTTGTGAGGCTTAGCCTCCTTTTACAAATTGAAGGAAACCTCACACAGAAATCAAATAATTTGTCAAAATCACGCAGCTAGAAAGTGGTAGAGGGAAGATTCAAACCAAACAGTAGGGCTCTGAAGCCCATGCTCTTAACCTTGACATTATTAGTCTAAAGAACTACTCTTAGTAGAACCGTAAGTTTTGAAAAAAATTTTCATGCTCAGCTGAATGGTATAGAGACTTGGCAATCCTCTCTTCAGGCCTTTGGCTTAGAGTTCTGTGTCACTTTACCCTAATTTAAATGATGTTACGTGGTTATTACAAGTAAATGCTGCTGAATAACTTAACTACATGGTTAAATATTTCATGATGGATCCCAGCAGCTTCAGAGAGCCATCTGCCACCCTCGTCTGAAGGCAGTACCAGTTTTTACCAGGTTTTAGATTCTAAATATGTGTGTCCCTTCATACAAACATAGAATCACCTTGCAGGGACTGGCCTGAGCAGGGTAGGGTTACGGAAGTAAGAGAGATCACACTCCCTGCCCTGTGGATCCCAACCCACCCGGGGACGGGGACGGCAAGTGCGTGCTGATGACGCGGCCACGAGCAGCACGAAAGGGTGTATAAAGGGTGTGGAAAAGGCTTGAGGACTTTGGGAAAAACAAGACTGTCCAGGGCCTTGGTCTGATGATACCAGAGCCTGAAGGAAGAAGGGCCTCATGAGACAAACAGTCTTTTGATTTTCTTCTGGACAAAGAGAAATAACATTTCAAAAGGGTAAACCTTTGTTTTAATTCAGTTTATTGTGGGTTAATAAAATAAATGCCTCTTAGACCAGGAGTACGTCCCAAACTTGCCACGACTTGCCTGGCATTATAGGCTTCTGTGCTTTCTTGCTAAGTTTTTTTTTCCTTAGTTGTCCTTTGTAAACTGATTTCATCTATTTAGGGCCAAAGGGAATTTAAGATCTTTTCAGTGTACTTTTATATCATTTCAGTCTTCTCTAGGTGAGAGTTTGAGAGAACTAGCTTACAAAATTATGAGAAAGATACTTCGATAAATTATTAAAAACCAGAAATTATCACGTAATAACTTACTCTAAAAGATAACTTCAGCGTATTGCCTACAGATGTTTCTATATGTGCCTGTTAATTAAAAACACTTTTTAAAGAACATATGTCAAAGTTTTGTTGCATAAAAATGATAGGGGTAGTGATGTTTTTGAGTGCCAGAGACGTGCCATTCTCTGTTCTAAGCTTTCTAAATGCCTAATTTCATTGATTCTCACAACTCATGAGATACAGATGTCTACTTTCATTTATTCTCACAACTCATGAGATACAGATAACATAGCTTTCCCAGTTCTGTAGACAAGGAATTGGAAGTTTTGAAATCGTAAGTAACTCACACAAAGTTGCACAGTTAATAATTGGTGGACACAGGGAACAGACCCTGTGGTGTGCCGCTGTGCTCTGAAACTCTCTGACATATACCTGGTGATCTGACACACTGGCTTGCTCATTTAACGAGGTTGATCGAGTGCCTGCTTATGCTGGGAATGCAGAAATGCACAGAAGAGAGAAATTCTTTTTCTGGCAGAGCTTAAATTCTAGTCAGGTGAGTCAGAAAACTCAGTAAATAAGATGTCGAGAATGTACGATGATAAGGTGCTGAGAAGAAAGGACAGTGGAGGCCATGAGATCTTAATATCAGGTGGTTGAGAAAGGCCACACTGAGCAGGGGATAAATGAGCCCATATCTGAAGGCGCAGGAGGAGAAAGGAACATTAGGATATCAGATGAAAGGCCTTCCCGGGGCGGAGGGAACAGCAGAGGTAGAGGTGAGGCGGTAAGGGGGTGCTTGAGGGACAGGGAGCTGGCCAGCCTGCATGGTGGGGGCAGGGAGGAGGGATGAGGCCAGCCAGGGAGTCTTACAGGGAGATGAGTGTCTTCTCTCTTATTCCTTCCTGACGTTATGAATTCTTGATCGTTTTATAGGCCTTCCACTCAATTCTTCTCACTTGGCAAGTAATTCTGGAGAAGATTGCTTTATAGAGTGATGCATAGTAAGGCTTAATATGTCACCAAGCAGTTTCTGTTGCTTTATGAATTCAAGAAAAGTTTTAAGAGCCTGATGTGTGCTGGGCTATTAGATTCGGAGACTAAAAACATGACTAATATGCCCTTTTAACAATCTCACTGGTTGGAGGGTGAGGTGAAAAGGGGTGTTGAAGCACTTGATTTCAAAGCAAACTCTTCATTCTTCAAACTGCAGCTGACCTGTCCTGGCCTCTGTGATACTTTGCATTGATTATGCTGTACTATAGTCTTTTTCATACAGATCTGTCTCCTGAATCGTGAGGTCCATAAGGAGAGTCCAGGTCTTAG